AAATAAAGTCATTAAACCACGCTTGAACGTTTTTTAGACATATTTAGAAGGTTAAACGAATGTCGAGTCTTGCAAGCCTATAGTCGAATCGAGCGTCTCGACAAGATATATTGAACGAGCCCAAGATCGTTCAGTCACTGAAAATGTCCATTAAATGTCATTTGATCGAAGGAAATCATCCAGACTATCCAATCAAAGTTGTTCATATTTCTGCATTCATTGCGCCAAGAACACTATAAATATAACCCCACCCCTCTCATGAGAGGAGGCTGGAGGCTTGAGAGAAAACTTAAAGTTTTTAGAATGAGCTAAAGTCTAGCACCACACCTATCACTGTCAATTGGCGCTGGCTGTCATCGACCACCCACGATCTTTTTTCACCACCCTCTACTGTCGTCAACATCCGCCAACCATCGTCAAGCACCGTTAACCGTCAGCTATTTTTGTTGACCACTACCAATCGCCATCGACAAGCACTGACCTCCATCGAGCACTATTGTCGTCGTCAACCAACCCTGACCGTCGTCGACTATTAACCGCCATCAATCGCCACCACTCGCTGTAGAACACCGCCAACTGAAACCCGCAAGTCGATGTTGTAACATGGAAAATAGAAAACCTTGTAACCTTTTTCCCGTCTACGAGACAAGTAATCTCTGTAATCATCAACCTATAGTAGATTTTGACATTTGGGTCGGGACCCATGTTTTTTTTTTTTTACAGGTGTCGTAATTGATTGTTTTCCCTTACTTGAGTGTGTGTTGAATTCTCGTTCAATGCTAAGACAATAATCCATTACTCTACCACAACAAATTTTCTATCACACATAACTGACATTATTGAACTTATGAAAGAGTAGCTTAATTACAAAAAAGTACAAAAGCTTTATCTAAGTGAGCTTGTTGGACTTTATACATATTGGTTATTTGGATAAAATGAACGAGTCTTATCAAACCGCTTTGATTAAGCCTAAAAATGAACGTTCGTATGAAACTCTTCATGATTGAGCCTAAGCCAAACTTCTTAACAAACTTATTCACAAACATTAAATGATACCATCTATGAATATTAATGAATTGAGCAACAAGTAGCTCAATTTTGTTTATTTAACTATTGAGTATTTATAATAGTATCCAAGTTTATTTGATTAATATATCATATAGTCATGAATGATCACTGATTGAGCTATGCCACTGAGTAGCTTGCCAAATGCTTATTTCATTCACAATCCTACCGTTTAATCAGTATTGAAATGTTTAAAGAACAACTTAAGAGAAACTATAGGCCAATTTGCAATGCATCATCCCGTTCAAAATTTGATATTGACTGATAAAAACATTTGGCTTCAACAAAGAAGCACAACCTTCCCCTCATCACACATGCTTACAATAACTAAAAGTTTCAATGAAAATTTAGCAAATTATCAAATATTTAAAGAATTATGTTGGCTACCTATAAATCAATATCAATAAAAAGTGGAATGACTTCTAGCTCTAATATTCAACATATTCCTATTAATTTTTTGTACAAGGATTTCAAATAAATAGGTTCAAAGAAAAGAAATAAGGAAGATATAGCATTCAAACTCTTTTAAAGCTTGTTTTGCCCTCAATCATTTTAGAATTACAAAATGGTGGGAATTATTATGTTGATCCTCATCATGAATAAAAAAAATATGAAATTTTATGAGTTGAAAATTGTAAAAAGTCTAGACCACAAATATCACTCATTATTTTGATGAGATAAAAAATGTCAAAAAAAACTTGCTTGCTTGACCTCTTAAAACATTTTTTATGGCTATAACAAAGTTCAAATATTACTTTTTGACATCCTTCCCCATATTAAATTGAAGAAAAGTATGTAAGAGAAGTTTTAAAGATATTTTTGAAAACTTAATCATTCAGGAAAATAAGTAAAAAAAATCATCAAATTTTTTATAAAATTATTTTCCATAAAATGTATATACTTTTTAAGTTATGAAACTATCAAATGAACATATTTTGAAATGTAAAAAAGTTGATGGAATTAGCATATGGTGACACAAAAACTAAATAAAACTTTTAAAATTTTTTATCATTGATTTTAGGGGTGGACTCAGGAAGGGTCCAAAGGGGCAATCGCTCTCCCTCAAATTTAGATTTTTACTTGTATGGGAGGGCAATTTGGCTTTTCGCTCCTCCTTCAAATATTAGTTTTGTTCCTTCTGAAATATCATTTGGCCTTTCGTAATCATAGCCCCTCTTAAGTTGGGTCTAGGGGAACAGTCTACCCCCTTAAAAAAAAGATTGGTTCCGTCCCTGGTTGATTTGAATGTAGAAATTTGTTAAATTAAAAGACCTCATGATTTATATGAAAGATGTTTTGAAAATTGACAAGGTAAAATTTTGCAGATAAAATTTTCTAGAAAATTAAACATATGTGAAGTAATGCACAACTAAAAATACCAAACCAAGGCAGGCAAATACATACACATATATATACATACATATATATATATATAATATATATATATAGACACACACACACACACACACACACACACACACACACACACACAAAACAACAACAACAATGATAACAAATGGATCAAAATTATTAAAACTAGTTTCCTAATTCAACTATATTTTTTTCTTTGAGGAAGATCAGAGTTTTTTTTTCCCTAATATTATTTATGGAAAGTCATCATATTGATCCCTCTTCGAACCAGATTCATCCAAACAAAGATGCTATATGCTCAGACTTTATAATCTCCAACACATGCCTTCATAAATCTTATCTGCCCAAATAAGCACAATCAGACATAGTTTTAAGTAAAGAATAGAGTCTTTTTAAAAGGATTTTTTTTGCTTGACTCAAATAAAATCTTCTCAGAGCTAGTTGGGAAGATCAAATACTCAACAAAAAGACTTTAAACATCAGACACACTTCTTCAATCTCTAATATCCAATGTGAAAAATAAGTCGAAACTAACACATATTTGAGCTTAATTTTTACCCCAAATAGATCGTTTTTGTTATTTATGAGCTCACTAAGATCATTAAATGATAATTCAAATTAAAAGTTCTTACCTTTTAGACCTTTAAAGTTTAAAAAGTCTTCTAGATGCAATTTTTGACAATTTAAGAGGTTCTTCAAAAAAAAATTTCACCTCCTTTCTGTAAATGATGTGTCAACTTTAGGGAATGATAAAATTACAATTGATGAACTTCTATTTTGTTCATAGATCTAGTGATAAGTCTAAGTTGATGTTTTGGGCATGGTAGCATGGTGTTTTTGGACGAACTATAACTTTATATCATACATTTACAAAACTTGATTTAGTTGTGAATGAATAAATTATGATATAAAATAAATAGAAAAGAAAGTATTGTTAAAAAATTCATACGATCAAACAAGAAACTTGGCACAACTACTTATTTCAAGATCAATTTTAGTTGCTTTCAAACCATATTTTTATTTTTAGCCAAAATAAATATTTTGATAAGATAACATAATCAAAATTAGTTTGATAAATGAACCGAAATGAATCACTCAAAATATAGTTAAAAATTTTATCATTTTATTTGAGGATTCAATGGATTTTTTATGTATACATATGCTCACAAAGAGTGTCTCAATGTTACAAATTTGTCAGGTCTGAGTGGCCACAATTTTGATTTTATTAAAGCATTAAACCATTTTAGCATAATATTTGATCGACAAAATTGATATGAATGGTTTCATTAAATGGTACCGGTCAAAATACATTTTTCTAAATTATCTATAAATTGATAAATCAATACTCATTAGAAAAGATGAAGCCATAAGAATGATTTGAAATACAATAATTCAAAACATTATCGATGAGTACCCAAAACTTATCATTGCTAACAATGTTGATGTCATCCATTGCCAATAACTCTGTCTAAAATCATAAATATTTTTGATGAAAATGGTCAAGATAAATATGGACACTCATTGCTACTAAATAAGATAGAAACATGCCAGTAATGCCTATCATTGCCAACAAGGTCAACTTCAACATCAATTCTCACCATTTCCAATAATGCCAACGATAGCGAATATCTGCCATCACCAATGAGATTGTCACCATTATTTACAATAAGAAACTCATTATTAACACCAACACTGACACTTTCTTTTATCAACAAGGCTAACATATCTCATCGATACCAATAGTTATATCTTTAATTATCCATAAGGCTGATGTTCTTCATTGACATCAATATCAGTGATAATGTTGATACGTGTTCAAATACTGACTCTTTCCATTACCAATAAAATCTACACCCTATGTCATGAAAAAATTGATAAACAATGTTGGTAGAAATACCTATGTTGTTATAAATATTTTGTATATATATATATTATATATATATATATATATATATATTAAAAAAAAACTAACGCATAGTAAACAGCTAATATTGACACTGAAGTTCTAGATTCTTTAGCACGAAACAACGTTTAGGTTTAATCTTCTTAAATTTTGAGGGCTACATAATTTCTAGGAATTGATTGCTATTATATTTTAGTCAAATTAAAATTTAATTTAAATTCGTTTAATCTCCGCCAAAAGGTTTTTGAGCAATTACAATCCTATAATTTCAATGATCCCATTTAATTATATTATCTTATCTAGTAAACTTAAAAAGTATGAAATCCCTTCACTTATAGAGTTTAGCAAATTTTAAAATTTATTTTTCTCATAAACTTAAAATAAATGGACAAATATTTCCCCTTTTTTTTTTTCGAAAAAGTTGAACATAAAAGTTGACGCCCGTGATTGGAATTGGTGAAGTCAGCTGAAAAGTTGCGCTAGGCGAACACTTTGTCTGAGATTTGAATTTTATAATAGTTATTATTGAAAGCAATCTCAGACTTTACAAGCGTCAAAATTTTGTCGTCGGACTTTACACAATAGACTAATCCTACTTGCCGCCAACAGGTCCTTAAAGCCAACTTGCCCAAAACCTGCGTGCGCCGCTGTTTTCCTCCATCTTGCATTTCCCTTCTGCTTATTAACTCCCAGCTCGCTCTCTAATCTTAGGAATTCAAACCCTTCCAGCATTTTAATTCTTTTCTAATGTCAGCGGCTGCGAGCGTAGCGAGATTCTCTTCGTCTCCTGCCCTGATGAGATCGCTAGCCCGGCGGAGGGGAACGGTAGCAATCGCTACTTCTGTGGCGATCAAAACTGCAAAGGGAAGGGGGTTGTATGCGGTGCTTGGAGTTGGGGAAAGAGCGAGCAATGTAGAGATAAAGGCAGCATACTGGACACTAGCGAAGAGATGGCATCCTGACGTAGCGGGCGAAGGCGATGTGGGAATCTTCCTCGAGATCCACCGGGCGTACGCGACCCTTTCGGATCCGGAGGAGAGGAAGAGGTATGATATCTCGATGGGTCTGCTAGGGTTAGAGTTCCAGCGTGGGGAGAGGTTCTTCGTGAGGAAGAGGTGGGAGACGGATCAGTGCTGGTAGGATCGGCGGCGGATGACGGATGGGTTCCGCCTTCGGATTGTAAATTGAAGCCTATTTTGAATTTTTTTTCATCGGTGACCTTTTTGGGTTTGGTGTTTGTTTGTAATGATAATTTCTTAAGAGGATAAAGCTGTAGGCTTTATTGTTTAGTTGATTGTACTTTTTGATTCTAAATTCAATCTTTACAAATTTAAAGTAATAATTTTATATCCCGTATAAAATTAGTTAAAGGAAACTTATTATTTGTTTAAACATGGTAGGTTTCCGAAAGCAGTAAAAAAATCCTTTTTTTTAAAGCGCATGGAATAGATTACATAGGCAGTTAATGATTTTGTTTTTCTTGAGGCTAAGATTTCTTACTGGTTCTCTAAAAGACATTCATTCAAGTTTCAACGAATCTAATTACGTGTTCGAGCATTAACAGTACGGGACTTTTGAATTTGACTCAAAATTAAAATGTAAGATTGATTTGTTTTCTTAAAATTAAGCCTAAATTTGCATCAAATTTTAGTTGAGCCTGAATTTAATTGAGCCAAATTGACTTAAGATTGGATCATAAATTTCAGAAATGACAATGACATCCATCAGTGAGATGAATCGAGTGAATTTAAAATTTATTTTTGTTTAACAATGTTTTTAAAAAAAGATTATTTTTATTAAAATTTAGCTTAATTCAAGATTGCAAAATTAATGATTTCCAAGCAAGAATTAAATTACCAGATTATAAAAACAAAAACAGGGATAGAGAGATAATAAAAAAAAAATTAAGAATTTTTATATGAATCGGCCCAAACCAACCCCATGGTTTATGTAATTTTTTAAAGTGTAAACAAATATATAATATTTAATTAATTTTTATTAAAGTATTTTATTAAATACAATCTTCTTCTCAACTTAATCACATCCCCAAAATGTTCAAAACCCTCACCAAAATACCACAAAAGCTTTTTAGATGTCTAAGCTGAGACAGGCATCTGCCCAAACACTAGCAACTTCTCCCGAACAATCGAATTTATTCAATATGGAATCTAGGCTAAAATGGGCATAAATCAAGATTTAAGAATAAAAAAGATTTAATATTTAGATGATATTTAAGGTCTTTTTATCTCTATAGATGATATTTAAGGTGCATTTCGGCCATTTAGCAGGATTTTCTCCTTAAATTCCACTTCCACAAAACCCAATAGCCATAGTATGTATCCCACTCAGAAGTAGATAACATTCATAATAGTTTGGAAGAGCTTAGATGTGTCGAAAATTTTTAAGAGGACGAAGAAATATGAGTTTTTCAAGGGCTTATCAACCACAAATTTGATAAAGATTATGACTAATATTTTGGATAATTATTAGGGCAACTTCGGGCAATAGAAAGTTTAATTCTGCATTAGTTAAAAAGTTGAAATAGGTTTATTTGAATTAGTGGTAAAAACTGAATCAACCATTAAAAAAAATAAGACTATTTTGTTGAGCGTTGCCCATGGTGTCTAAGAGGTTAGTCAAATATTGATTAGGTTCTCCTAGACAGTAACCCCCTCCGCCAAACCAGTAGACTAAAGGAAATGATTTGAAGGTGAATACACAATAAAAGGAACATCTTGATGATCAATAATGCAAAAAGCAACCTCATTAGTAAAATATAATACTGGTAAAAGAAGGGAGAGAGACCATTCCATTTTTTTGGACCTTACAAATGTCTTCTTAATAAGATATTATTGGTTCCGCAAAGCCTAATTTAAGTCATTTGCATCTAGATTTGCATTATGATCTGACATATAATATAGATATATGAGCTAAGAGTATGATCATATAGGTGACAATAACAACACTATCTGGGAATGTTCTCAAACATAACCTTTTGTGAGTAACCACATTATTGGAAGTTGGAAACTTGTCTAAATAATATTACAAAGGCTTTGGGAAATTTTTATTTTCAACAATACTTTAATAAAATGCTATATGATAATTTTTTATTGGAATTTAAACACATGGATGAGTACCAAAAAAATAGATAAAGTGTATAGATGACCAAATTATTAAATAAATGTAACTTAAGATAAGGAAATGAAAAAAAAAAACAATTAAATTCACTCCTAAGGATAATTAGATCTTGACATCTTGATTCCATTTTCTTATTAGAATTAAGGTATAATTGGACTTAAAATTCATGAGCGCGTGCACGTACACTCACCTCACTAAAAAAAAATAATTATTATAGATTTATACTTCAAGTGGTGGCAAAACATGAAGATAAAATTACATATTATGAGATATAGTTAGTGCATGAAAAAAATGCCCGCACAAATATCAATGGGATTTGATGTTAGAGGAGACCAATAATCTAAAAAATAATGAGATAACACAAGCAGACCACCCAGAGTTAGCCAACCACCAGATAGCAGCCGACTAGCCAACTACCCACAATCAGCTGATAACCACCCAACTAGCCGATTAATCGACCAACCAACTGCTCACAGTCGATCGACCAGTCGACTGCCCACAGTCGGTCGACTCGCCATCTATCCACACTTGACTAACCAGCTGACCAGTCGACCACTAAGGCCCAGCCCACTAGCTGACCACGACACTGCTAGTTGATCAGTTGACAAATCGACTACCCATAGTAAGCCGACCAGCCGGTGCCCCAGAGCTAACCGACCATACGGTCACCCAGAGCTAACCGACCGTCGGACCACCCATAGTCAACCGACCAACCGACCAAACACAGGCAATCAACCTGCCAACTTACTGGCCACCAAAAGCAATCCGGCCAGCTGACCAACCTCAGCTAGCCGACCAGCTGACCAACCATACTCAACAGATCAGCAGACCACCATTAGCTAGACGACAATCGACCAACTCAGCAAGCTGACCGGCCTACCCGCTGACTGAAGGCCAACATCATCGATGGACTAGCTCCCGATAGTCACCGATAAACCAAAGATAGAATGCCATGTACTACCTATTTTAATTAGAGATAACATTGTAATTTCACATTTTTTCTTCATATCATCTATAAATAAAAGACCTTTCATGTTTTGAAACCTCTTTTTTAGGATCTTTCTCTATTTAATAATGACAAGTGATGAAATAAAAGGGGTATGTACAACAAAAATATGATCACACGAATCTCGAGAAAAATCAATAGATCATACTAGGAAGATAACAAAGAATTGCATCAGAATTGTCAAAATACGGAGGCATCAAAAATCATTAGATTTTGTTAGATCGTGGGCCAACCAAGGAAAGTATATCCAAACAAAGAAAATATTATGCACCTGATCTAAGGGATAGTTGTGTGTCATCAACTCCCTCAACCAAATTATGAGATCCCTCGTGGTAAAAACCTATGGTCGGTCCCTACATCACCTTTTCGAACAAAAACCTTTTATTGAAAGAAAAGCCACCCATCATATCACAGTGACAGACCCTGTGCCTGATGGCCTAAGTTTATCCTAATAATAAGAAGGTCTCTATCAAGGGTTCCCTTAAGAATATCATTTAAAGATCTTTCAGCCAACCGAAGAACTGTTAGCTAAATGAAGGACTTTCAACATATTGAAGGATTTTCGACCGACCAAATTATTATCAAGCAATCAAATGTTAACATCTAAGAATCTTTAATACCACACTTTGAGCAATTATAAATACGTAAAAGTGCTAATGGAGATTACATATATTAAAAGATTATAGAGTCAGTTGCAAAGATGTAAAGTTGAAGTGTTACATTAATTACTTGCAAAATTTCTATTTACACAGAGAAAAACTTGTAACATAGCAAACACTCACTATAATCTATAAATAAAGAGTTCATTTCTTCATGAAGAGGCTTCTCTATTCAAGGAAAATTTGTGTTATTGGGCGCTCTATTTCTTTCTCTCTCTTTTTTTCCTACTCCACCGATCTGTCCAATGCTCTATTCCTTATGTGTGACCCATAAGACAGTATATACAATATGGTAATCCGTGTCATAATTAGTGTCAACTTTAAACCTGACACAAAATTAGTGTCAAGGTTTTGTCTACTTAACTACCATTGTAAGATTCCTTACTCAAAGCTCTTAGGTGGACATTAGTGTCCACTTTAGCATCAACAATGGCTGACGTTATTAACTTATTAACGTTGGCCATTTCCAACGCTAAATTAGTTGCTAATGCCCTAAAAAGGCCTTCTTTACTGAATGCTCCTCATTTCCTTCTCTTCTTAGTTTCAGAAGGTGTTTTAAGAGAAACTGATGACCTACTACTCAATCTCGCAGAAGGCGACGACTCTCGCTAGTTCTGGCGACTCAGACAAGATTTGTTCCAACCAAATTGCGTCTCGAGCAAGGTACATTCCTTTTCTTGTTTCTACTTGCCAAATTAATTTATTTTCCTCTCCTAACTCCCTCATAATATTTGTATTTTCTTAGTTACCATTTGATGTATTTTTAGTTTTTGGTGTTAGATCTGTAATGTATATATGTAATGGGGATATTATGTGAAATTTCAAATTTGTTTCTTTTTTTTTGAAATTCTTGAAATTTGAAGCTTAGGTTTTAGCTATTTAATGCAAATTAATTATGTGGTTTTAATGTTAAAAAGAAAGTTTAGGTGTTACATTTTTTTTCCTATAAATGAGAAGCATAAAAATAAATATTAAATTTTGATAATACAAGAATGCTTAAGGCGATGAGTGGTTTTAGGCTTAAAGTCATAATGCAAAACAAATAAATCTGTGAAAGAGTTTGTGGTGTGCCTATGGTAGAAAAGCTTAGATAGAATTGGCTTAGATGTTGTAGAAAAAAAATTAAGATGAGTTAGTGTTGCACCGGCTTTAGGCATGCTGTGTAAAAATAATTTAATCTATTAAATAAATAAAGATTTGACACTCAATGGCACACAATGGAAAAAGAAATTTCATGTAGTCGGCCACCTAAGTGAGAAAGAAACTATCTTGTTTTGTCACCTTAAACGTCGATCATCTAACAACACTATTAGAATAACAAATTTTATTGATATGACTTTTGTTAAGAAATGTAGAAATAAACCTAAAAAGAACAAAGCACATTGTATAAAAAAATGATCTCAGTCTGTTAGAAGTAGACAAAA